CAGCGGCCGGCCCACCGAGCCCGGCCCCCTTTCGCAAACCACACCCGGCGATCCCAGAACGCCATTTGAGACATTATTGCCCCCCCCCAGGTGCCCGCGGCATCGCACCCTGCTCTTGAGCCGCCAAACAGAGGCCCCATCAGACACCGGGGTTTTAACTATGAGAACGCGCCCGGGCTTGCCTTTTCTGCCCCCCAAGCCCGCCGAACGGCCGGCCTCATGACGCCGGCCCACCCGCACCCGCGCAGCCCACGGGTTCAGCCCCGTTCTGCGCGCCCCGGCGCCCGCTTGGGGCATTCGCCGCCTTTGGCCTGCTGGCCCCAGTTTGGGCGCGCTGGCGTTAGTATACGCGCTCGATGCCGGCGGATTAAACCTGTTGAGTCAAACTGTGAGCGAATATGTAAGTAGGTTAGTTCTAGTTACACTGTCAGGAAGATATAAAGTGCATGTGTCAATGTTTTAAGGCTGCTTTGTACATGAAGCCATAGTGATATTTTTCAACGATGTTCTACACAAATGGTATAAGTTTTGCATGGATTTTTATGAGAATTGAGAATAGCCCAATTCAGAAACATATAGTGATAATTCCGATATTCCCTAAGAACTCTCAGCATCTAGAAGCTTCGCAAAACTCTATAATTGAGACATAATCTAAAACGTGAACTCGTATGAATTTTCATGTACTAACACGCGTTTGTGCTTCGCTCTCATCAAACGTTATCATTCTTATCTGTAAATGACAAGGTAGATTAACTACCTGATAATTTCTTAAGATCGCTTGTTACTATTTACAACTTCTTTCTTACAAACTTTTTAATTGCAGCAGTAAACCCAGTAAATTTAATAATATAATGAACTTATGAGTTCTACAGCAGATCCTAGACTTTTCGTACTGTCGTTTCTATTTCCTGTGCGCTCGATGCCGGAGTCCCACCAGCAGCAGCACAGAAGCACGTTCGCGCCATCGCAGAACATAGTTGTACATATCTTCACAACGATCCGCTCTGTGACACCACCGAGAAGCGGCAGAGACCTTCCGACAGAGCCACCGCCGTCGGCGAGAGAGAAAGGTTTCGTGATTTCCCCGCTGTGGGTTCAGGCGGCCGACAAAGACCGGTGGCGGCTATCAAAAGGCAGGCTATAGGCAAAGACCAGTTCCGAGGGGCGTTTAGTGTGAACGCTGCCATTGAGAAATGTGTTCTGATTGCGGTGGTGTTGACGCGCTTCTGCGCTGCTGAGGCGGGCTTCATCACGACTGCCACGGAACTCTACTACGCTGTGGGTAAACGCGCACTCCGCGTGAAGGGATAGGCGCCGGAGTGGCACTGAGTGGCGCCGTGTGAAGGGAGCCCAGAAATTATACTTCGATATCAAAATGTGTGGTACTTCAAGGTCACGAGATGGAACGAGAAGGGGACATTGACATCCAATCGGGAGCTCCAATACCAAAAATTTAAGACGTACCGAATCTTCCAATTGAATGTCGGTGTCCCCTTCTCCACCCCACTGGTGACCTTGAAGTGTAATTTTGTTTAAATTGGAATATAGTCAAGTGCCCCCAAAATGAATTAATGTTGGATTATTTTTTCTGAAAGTATATGATCAAGTAAAATATGTCCTTCAAAATAAAAAATACAAATATATATGATTTAGAGCAATAAATATAAATTCCTATCAAAAACATCTGACATTTTTTTTTCGTTTTTCAAAAATAGGCGCTGAACTGCTTTTAAAAAAAATTGTAGTGAAACTGACACTACACACGATGATTCAGTATAATGGTTACGAACTTGTACAACATGCAAGGAGTGATGTCGAAGATGATATTTAACAACGAAGATGTAGTGGGAAATTTTGTTTCATAAAGTTACACATGTGACATTTTTCCTTAATAGGTAGGCAGCTCTTTTGAAATTATTGTTAGATAATAAGCACGACTTGACTATAATGAGAATATGCACAACATGAAACAGTATTTTGTTGGGAGGGATTCAATTTTCTACAGAGTATTTGTCGTTATTTTCTATTGTAACGTTTCTACAGTATTCATTTTGTGCAAACTATTAGCAAGGCGCCACAATTGATATTGTTATGAAGCATTCATTTGACGAACACATTCGAGCTAATTTTGCTTATCTTTTTTTAATGAGATATTGCTCACACGGGAAAGATGATTTGAAATAATGTTGTTCTCGTCTGTTAATGATGAATGGCGGGAGGAGCAAAGTTACATTTATTGTTTAGACACAAAGCATAGTATCGATTTAATTAATAAAGGGAAACTGATCATAAATCTAATTGAGAAGGGGGTCGTTGACGCCGAAGCTAATAATAATAATAATAATAATAATAATAATAATAATAATAATTCGTGTTATAAATACAACCAAGTACCTGTAATGAAAGCAAATAAAACCATCATTTACTGGGACAGACCTAAAATAACAGATAAAACTGGGGCCTTCAATAAGCCAGATACAGTTTTGATTGACAGGGACAAGAGAGAAGCTATGCTTGTTGATATTGCCGTACCGTTGACACACAATCTAAAGAAAACAAAGACCAAGAAAATTACTAAGTCTGAAGATCTCTGGAAATAAAACAAATGTGGAAACTACAGAGTGTAACAATATATCCACTTGCTATTTCGGGTAAAGGTGTAGTAACAAACAATTTCAGGAAAAATCTGAAAAAAATGGGATAACCTCAACGAATTTAAATTACAGACAGAGAGCAGCGATCCTGCAAACATGTCATATTAGTTACAAATGACGTTCCCATATCTTGGGGGGTCAGACTGAAATCTCTCTCCCCAGTAATCGAGCTCTTTCCTTAATGTGGCAGGAATGGGCAAATTAAACTCTACACAAGCTGCTGAGAAATAAAATAATATTAATAATAATAATAGTAATAATAATAATATTATTTTGACGCGTCTCGGAACAAGAGGCCTGCTCTTCCGCCCAACCACAGGGAGAATACGCCTGCGAAATACTATATAAGGCAATCTTGTAGAATTGAAGAGGTCGGAGCACCGTACTGTTCGGCAGACGAGATCCGTTGCTCACCAGAAGGGCGAGATGGTGGTGATGGAGAGGCGGTGGCCCGAAGGGATGCCGTGCGACGAGATGGCGTGCGAGGAGTACTGGCGGCTGC